GAGATTACCAGATCATCAACCTCACAATTATGCTTCTTTAAGCATGACTGTAAAATCTCTTTCGGGACCTGAAGCTGATGAAGAAATAAAGTGCAGTTCTTCCACCAACTCATCAATACACCTTTGAGGTACATTGAATATGCTACATTTCTCTCGATAAACGTAGGCAATTCTCTTCTTTCATCATCTTCAGGATCTTGACTCACTGCACCGTTAGTATCTGCCTCAACGTCAATATTGTCCCCTGCATTTAAAGGATTGACATCCCTCTGTAAAAGTTTAGGCTTAAAATCATCCAGTGAGTGAGGAGTGCGTTTCCAGCTCCTGTGGGAGGCAAATGTTCCATGAATGAAAGGACAATTTTCAAAGACACATGAAACTGTTTCTCATTTCTTTAAATGACGGCCAATGTGCTCAAAGTACTCTCTCTCTCTTTCTGTGGAAATAGTGTTTAAAAGGCAACATGGACATTTAAAAGACAGGACATGTGCGTGTGTCACAGGTCGATTGACTTCTTGACAGATGGGTTCGCAGGCTGCCCCATGTTTTAAATGAGCAATAACACTCCCAATAAAGACAAGGGAGAAACTCTCCACCACTGCCATGCCTAAGTCTAGAATGCTTTAAGAGATCAGTCTTTCTTGATGATTCAAATTACTCAAACGTTTATGTACTCAAATGTTATGTGATTCAGAGCTGTAACATTAATGCTTACAGCTTGTGCAGCATCAGTCTTACAGTAAGTTAACAGCTGCAGTTTATCAATGCTTAAAACAAAAAATGTGCTTGCCAAAACTGCAGTTGCTTTTTTCAGAATGTAAACATCAATGGCAAAACTACAATATTACAATGAACTGATATTGAATTCTTACTTTCAAAAAGTTATTTTAAACCAAATATAGATTTTATTAATTTTCCTAAAATGTTTCTGACTAATGAATTGATTCAAATGTCTGGCAAATTGTGTTTAAATACTGACCACATAATGAGATTAAAAATAAAATAAAAATGTTTGAACTAAAGTTGTGGTGACCAACAGACCCATTTCACTGATTGCCAACTTAAGGAAATGTGCCAGCTGCCTTACCTAACAGACGAGTTCATCAGTTATGAAGTTAAATGGAAAAGAAAATGAAACGTCTCTCAAATGTAGTAATGTCAAATCAAAAATAATCTCCAAAATAATACACGATGGTTCAAATGTTCAACTTACAGATAACTAGCACACACGCAACAAATGCACGTTTCGTGTTTCTAAAACGTGTTGCCAGCTTTACAGCCCACCTTTGCACAGTGCTCAATTTACCATTTTAAACCTCACTAAAATATTACAGCTTAAACGTCAACATTCAGAAATGTAAAACCGAAATATGTGGCATAACATTCGTTGTGGTTTCGGATAGAAATGGACCCAAACGCAAAGCTTGTTGGTTTACAAAAGAGGTTTATTGAGGGGAAAAAAGGGAAGAGGGGAGACGGGAGGTGAGAAGGGGTAAACTGGACGCTGGCGGGGCTGGCAAAGCTCGAGCGAGACGACTGAGAAGGGGCAGGAGGCCGAGGAGAGAGAGGCGAGGAGCGTGGAGGGAAGCCAGGGGAACGCCGCGGAGGCGAGGGGAGAAGGCAGGTAGGCGAGCCTAGCTGACTGACTGGATGGCGGAGGTGAGTGGACCTGGCGGGGAGACAGAAAAGACAGGGTTAGTCTTGGGAGACACAACAGGTTAGGGAACGAGGTATCAGAGAGCTTAGAACGCTGAAGTGGCACCAGGACCGGAGCGATGACGATCAAGCAAGAGTGGTGAGGAGAACCGGGGTTGAAATACAGGCAGGGATGAGGTTGATTACTGGCAGGTGTGGCAGGCTGACGAGGTGGCTGATGAGGTGCAGGCGCAGGTCGTTGGCTGGGCTCAGGAGCAGAGAGAGGGAGAGAGAGAGAGAGAGAGAGAGAGAGCACACACAGGGGAGAAAATACAGGGAGGCAGGCAGGGAACAGAAAACCAAGGAAAAAGCAGAATAACTGATAAAAAGGAGAAAAAAAAACAGGACACACACCGTCAGCCGGGCTGCCACCACAACAGTGGTTTAATCGTGAATGTAAATTGGCACCCTCAATAGCCGTTGCAGACCAAACCTGCATCAGTGTATTGCCGGATTTTAAATTAAGACGAAGCAAAATGAGTATTCACTAACTTTTGCAGAGTTACAATTAATACTTGAGGTTCACTGACAATTAAGATCATTCGGCTGCCTTTGTGAAACAAAACACAAACGACTGGGACTTACTAGTAGTAGGAGCTAGCTAAAACTATCTAGCGTGGTGAAAATACATTTTTTTGCCATGTGGGCAGTTATTAATGTTAGCCACTGAGCATAAAACAAGTCAAAAACAGTAGCCTACCTTATATCATGAAATGCAAAGTTGTTTTTCCCACACTTTTCTCTTGCATGTGGAAGGCTTGGTCAGGTAGCGGCAAAACAAGTCCAGGCAAGTTCTACCTTGTAACTTTTAAAGGATGTCCACTGATATACAAGTTGCTCTAACTTAATATTGTCTGTTGTTAAGTGAACTCAGAAACACTTATTTCTAAGTTGAGACAGATTTCTACATTTTAAGTTTGACCAACTTCTTTAAAATAAGTTATCAACTGAATAAAACAAGTGTCTATAACAAACTTAATTTTTAATATTAAAAAGTTGTTGATTTTTAACCTGGACTTACTAACCCCATGAATCATTTCTAAGAGTGTATGTATGTCGACCGGTGAACCCATCAGCTCACGTTCTTTGTGTCGCTGCGGTGTTTATGTCATGTGGTGTAGGTCACAAACCCCAGTTGCCCCGGCCTTTCTGTGTGGAGTTTGCATGTTCTCCCCGTGTCTGCGTGGGTTCTCTCCGGGTGCTCCGGCTTCCTCCCACCGTCCAAAGACACGCGGACTAGGTTAATTGGTGACTCTAAATTGTCCTTAGGTGTGATTGTGGGTGTGAGTGGTTGTTCGTCTATGTGTGGCCCTGCGATGGACTGGCGACCTGTCCAGGGTGTACCCTACCTTTCGCCCGATGTCAGCTCGGATTGGCTCCAGCCCAATCGGCCCAATGGTTGACAATGGATGGTTGGGTCCGGTCAGGAAACAGACCAGAAATTGCCGTTTTGGGAGGCATGGACAAACAGCACCGGTAGGTGTTGTTGTCCTTTGTTGGACAACCTTTGTTGTCATTACAGTTGGAGGACTTGGCTCTCACGTCTTCTACCGTTTTCCCGACCTAATTCTTGTCTTATTTGTGGTCTGATAAACAGTAAATTCCTCCAATTCAGTGCTTAATATCACTATTTTTCAAGATAAGTTACTGACCGTTAGAAAGTTCAGCCTGGACATCTGAGGGCATCTCATACTACTGAGAGCTTTAAAAAAGCACGTTAAACATTTCTTTTTAGCAGAACCTATGACTTTTAAATAACATTACTGGTTGCTGCTTTTATGATCACATTTTTATGCTTTTTAACTGTCTTTCATATTAATGCTTTTACCTTGTAGCACTTGTTTGTTACATAAAAAATGTATTATTATTATTATAATTATACCCACAGGAAAAATCCCTACATTCAAGTATAAATCAAAACCTTTGCATTAGGTATCCACAGCTGGACATACATTACCCCTTGCATCATGTCACACTGTGGGCATGTCTGCTCTGTTTTAATTCCCAGTCAGTCTTTTCTGTATCTGTTATTTAGTCTTCAGTTTGATGTGGTCCTGTCTATTTAGGTCTTGGGAGTTGGTCTATGTGGTTCTGCTTGTTCTGTATGGTGGTTCGGATCTGTCCTGTTATCTCTGTGTCGGCCTTAGTACTTGTTCAGTTGTTTGCTGTCTCACTTGCATTAGTTCTGTACCATCATGCTTGGGTTCTGTCTGTTTGTGAGTTGTCAATTCATGTTCCCTGCCAGTTTCATTATTTATCTGATTTTGATCCTTGCTCTAGTCTCTGTGTAGCATTGTTTATTATTTTATTCATCCGCATCTTTTAGTTACTTAGTATATATCTCGTCTCGTGTTTTAGTTCCCAGTTCAGTGTCTTAGTTCTTGTCCTGTACCTTTGTTCATGACTTAAGTGTTTGCTCCTGGTCTGTGTGCTTCAGTGTTGTTTTGCCATGTCTGCTCTGAGTTCTGTTTAATCTTTGCCTCAGTCAGTGTTCCTTGTTGGTGTTAGTTTATTCATTATCTGTCTGCTTGTATCTGGTTAGTTTGTTATTATTATTCTGGTTTGTTACTACTCACTTTGATATGGTCCATGTTGAGTACTTGTGATATATCTGTTCCCCCCTCAGTATCTGCCTGCATGCCAGTCTCTCTGTTTCCCCTGCTCTCTCTCTGCCTACCTGTGTCTCGTTAGCCTCATGTCCCTCACCTGTGTACCTCCTCCCAGCTAGTTAACCATGTGTATATATCGTTGCTTGTTTCCCCTCAGTCTTTGTCTGGTCATTGTCGCATGTATGCACAGTCGTTTGCTGTATGTTCTACAAGTTGCTGTATTACCTGTTCTGGTTTTTGGATGTTCCAGTTTCCTGTACCTGTGAGTTTTGTTCATGCCTCTTCGTCTTGCTTTGGATTTATAAGCCCTGGAACTCAGTCTCTACTTGTATAGCGCCTTTAGCCTTTCTTTCGACCACTCAAAGCGCTTTTACACTACATCTGCATTCACCAGTCACACACATTCATACACTGAGCCTAAGTGCTCAAACAGAAACTAACATTCACACTCATTCATACACTGGTGGAATAGCCGCCAGGGGCAAATCGGGCAAATCGGGGTTCAGTATCTTGCCCAAGGACACTTCGACACGCAACCAGGGGAGCCAGGGATCGAACCGCCGACCTTCCGATTAACGGGCAACCCGCTCTACCTCCTGAGCCACAGCCGCCCCAAAACCAGTCTCAGTGCTCTGTGTCATGCATTTGGGCTCTCACCTGCTTTGCGCACCCAGCAAACCTGACACATCCATTATAAATCCAGAGCTGAGAGACACAGGGAAGGAAGAAATGGATGAGGGAACAAGGACTGGGGAGTGAGGTTAAGAGTACTGCAAAATGAAAAGTAATATTTATGAAATACATCTTACATGTTTTGTAGACACAAAATATCAGGACACAACAGGACACTTTTCTTACATTATATACAGAATGTTTTTTTCTCTCTTGTTGCAGCTCTGCATTTCCATTTTAAGGAGAGGGAGTAAAGAGGAGAGGCTAATTTAGAATACATAAAGAAGGAGGGGATGAACTACTGAGGAATACAATAACCAGTCCTGGTCTGGCCTCCTCCTGTCACACTGAGCATGAAACTGATCAGTGACAGATACTCCGTCATCCAACAGAAATAGAATTTTAATCTGAAGTTTGTGCTGTTTTTTTCCCCCTGTTTCTACTTTTGTGTGTGACTGAGTCATAAGACATCTGATGGATTTAAAGTGTATGTGTGTCTGTATGTGGATCCCAAGATGATCCCAGCCTCTCTAAATGCTAATGATGTGTGTAGGTGAGTGATTTTTTTCAGGACACCCTATGTTAGACCAGCAGGGAAGCCCAAGAAACATAATCGACCTACAGCTACTGAGGCTTCCTCATCTCACAGCAACATAATCACAATGACCCAGCAAGGGTTTGAATTTTAGTTTCAGATTTAGGATCTGTATTACCAGAGGAGACCTGTGTGCCTTTATGTGTCATCTTTTTGACTCAATATACATTTTATGGACACCCTCAGCATGATTTGTAGATAGGAAAAGATAATTCTGGTTTAATCATTTTGTAGTTTTCCACCATTCCTATCAGTAATAACTGGGATTTTTATCATGTTAATATTGATCTAAAGAACACGGTGACATCACTAAATATAAGTCAGATGGGTTAGGAAACACAAGCAGTCAGACAATCTGGTTGGAAACAAACCTCCATGTTAGACAAACTTATTTGAAAAGAAAACTAAGGTGAACTGTAAAATGATTGTACTGTCTACTGCAAACACAATTTATAGACTAGTTCCTGCTTCAACCAGCCAATGACTTTTATTACATTTGAATTGGTATCAGGAGGAAATGTCCTGATGATTACGTGTTTCTAACATACTTCGCCATATGTGTCTATTATTCATTCTTATTATCCAGCTAATATGATGATCGCAGAGTTTTGCTAAACTTTTTAAAACTGTCCAACGGAATGAAGTGCTTCACCAGTGACGTTTGAAGCTTCAGATGTCATCAGCCACGTTATATTCTTTATTTGACAAAATATATGGAAGTGTAACAAGCTTTGGAGCCTTGTTATCATCTGCTTATCTCTACTAGTAAGCTAACGTTAGCTAGCTAGCCAGCAATATATATTAGGCTTGTCACCTAACTAACTCTCTGCTAATATTGGGCTGATTTGCAAATCTGAAACTCCTGTTTTTGGTACACTGGCTGATGATGCAGAACCACTTTCTATGGTGGCTGAGGTTACACCTCTTTAAAGAATCCATAAGCTGATTAGCTAGCTAGCATTCCATTGAAAATTAATAACAGTTAAAACAACCAGGGTTAATCATCTGGGGGTCTTCTGCACAGATTTAGTTTATTTTCATACACTTGTTTTAAAAATGAGAAATTGTATGATTTTTTTTTTTTGACAGCCCAGTACCCACAAAATCCATTGTCTCCAGACAAGAGATTTAATTTCAAATTGATAAAAAAGGAGGAAAAAATAACTTTAAAGGATCATAATAAATAGAAACATCACTTGTAATGTTTCACTGACCTCTATTTATACTATACATCATTTCCCTTTTGTTTCTTCAACACATACTGTAGTTTTACAATGTTTTCTTACTATATTTATCCCCAATGTCTAAAAATATAAATTTTCCTCATGCAGTTGATTTATTAAATTCATGGTCACTTTGAAATTAAAAATGTACTTTTATGCCCCAAAATTTCATTTTGTATAGTTAATGCTCACAATGAATGTTGCATGATGTGAAAGTTTTTAAAAGAGCACATTTGATTTCCATTAGGCAATCAGAGAGGGAGGTGGGTTTGGTGGACAGGTAGAGCTGGGTGTCATCCGCATAGCAGTGGAAATGGATGTTAAATTTACGAAAGATATGGCCAAGGGGAAGCAGATAGATGATGAACAGAAGCGGCCCCAGGACAGAGCCCTGGGGAACACTGGTAGTGACAGGGGATAGCTCTGATTTGAAATGTCTGACTTGGATGAACTGAGTGCGGCCAGAGAGATTTGAGATGACCATGTTAGCTTCTCTGTGATGCTGATTCCCAGTGTGGTGTCCGAACAATAATGCTGCGATGATGTGTTGAGAAGAAATCCGCTTGACACTGTTCTTGATCATAAAAGTTTATTACATCAAGGAATTCAGCATCAATTACAAGCTCTGCAGCAGCTTGGCGAGTGACCCAGCCCGATAACCACTCTCTCTATACATCAAACACAGCTTATATAGGACATGTTTAGGTATCTGCTAAATACCATATAAGGGCACAGTGCTGTAGGATAAGTGTAAACATCTGTTAGACACCATAGAAGGGTTCAGTCCCTTCATACACACTAATCTCTACTCCCCCTAACACTGGGTCAGAGGTCAAATTCCATAGGAGGGTTCACTCTTTACACACCCATCAATCATTACTCCCCCTTAAGAGTTCACTGAGCCTCTATCCAGCTGCTAGAGTGTTATTTTAAACTGTAATGGTCAAATGCACATATGTTATACACCACACCAGGAACCTGAAACTTCTTCCTAAAATCAATGATCAGCTCCTTAGTTTTGCTGACGTTGAGGAGTAGGGTGTTCTCTAAGCACCACTCTACAAGATTATCAATTTCCTCCTAATATTAAGTCTCATCGTTGTTTGAAATCCGGCCGATGATGGTGTTGTCATCCGCAAACTACACAACAGAGTTCTCTCCATGTCGTGGGATGCAGTCGTGGGTGTACAGTGTGAACAGGAGGGGTTGAGCACACAGCCCTGGGGGGCTCCGGTGTTGAGCACTACAGTGGAGGAGGTGAGTCCACGATTCAGAACTGACTGGGTTTGTTTGTGAGGAGGTCCAATATCCAGTTGCAGAGTGTTGTATTTAAACACAGACTCCTGAGTTTGCTGATCAGTTTCATGGGGAGATTGTGTTGAATGCTGAGCTGAAATTACAAACAGAATTCTGATGTATGTGTCGTTTTCCTCAAGGTGTGTGAGGGCTGAGTGGAGGGTAGTGGAGATGGCATCCTCTGTGGATCTGTTGGTTCTGAAACCAAACTGGTGAGGGTCCAGGCTGGCTGGGGGGATGTTCTTTATGTGCTGAAGAACCAGATTCTCAAAGCACTTCTGACACTGTAGACTTTTTAGGTACAGGAACGATGGTGGTTGTCTTGAAGCAGGTGGGAACCCTCTCCTGAGACAGTGAGATGTTGAAAATGTCAGTAATAAAATCAACTAGCTGATTGGCACAGGTTTTTGGTACACGGCCAGGGATGTTTTCAGGCCCAGGTGACTTACTCATATTCACTGACAATGGCCACTCCTCTGGAGGTGGAGTAGTTTAGTTCATCAGGTAATGTGGCCTCACATGCTCCTGCTTTTGCAGCCTGTGATGTTTTTGATGGCCTGCCACATATCTTGAGAGGGGTCCAATTGCAGACTTCCATTGTCAGGCCACCTCCACTGTCAGGACAGGAAATAACCATAAATAAACCCCACCGGACGTATCGTGATGCATTCTTGGTCCAGTAGGTGACTGGTTAGCATTTGCCAAAACATTGAGTAAAGTCTGAATGCATTGCTTTTGGTATATGTTCATCGTCAAAATAATAATAATAATCCTTATTTGTAGAGCACTTTTCAAAAACAAGTTACGAAGTGCTTTAACAAGTGTAAAGACAATAATACCCAAGAGACAATGATACAAAAATCAATACAAGATAAAAGCATGAAAACATTGAAAAGACTAAAATACAGATAAATATAAAATTAGTAAAATAAAATAAAAGGGAAGTCAAATAAGATCGGGAAAGGCTCTCCAATAAAAGTATGTTTTAAGGAGGGACTTAAGAGTTCACATACTCAGCCGACCTGATTTCCCCAGGCAGGCTGTTCCAGAGCCTCGGGGCCCTGACAGCAAACGTTCTGTCCCCTTTAGTTTTCAGTCGAGACTCTGGAACAGACAACAGACCTCTGCCCGAGGATCTCAAGGTGCGTGCTGGTGTATGGGACTAAAAGGTCAGAAATATAACAAGGCGAGAGGCCATGAAGAGCTTTAAAAGTGATCAATAGAATTTTAAAGTCAATTCTAAAACATACTGGGAGCCAGTGTAATGAAGCTAAAATAGGAGTAATGTGGTCATATTTCTTTGTTCTGGTTTAAAGCCTGGCAGCTGAGTTCTGGACAGTCTGGAGTGGATCAATAGATTTTTGGGTTAAACAGGTGAAAAGGCTGTTGCAATAATCCAGGCGTGATGAGATGAAGGCGTGTAAAATGGTCTCGGCGTCCTTAAAAGTTAACATAGATCGAATTTTTGCTATATTTCTAAGTTGATAAAAACATGATTGAACAAGCTTTGTGGTGTGCTGCTCGAAATTTAAATTACTATCAAACCAAACACCAAGGTTCTTTGCCACAGGCTTAATGTGATTTACTAGGGAACCAGCAGATGGCAGTATTTGATTTGCCATCTGCTCAGACCCGATGACCAGGTTTTCTGTTTTGTCTGAGTTCAGCTGGAGGAAATTATTTGACATCCATTTTTTAACTTCACAAAGGCAGTTGTTAAGTGAACTCAGCATTCCAGCGTCTGTGGATCTGACAGGCAAGTATATTTGTGTATCATCAGCATAAATATGAAAAGAAATGCCATGTTTATGGATAATATGTCCAAGGGGAAGCAGATACAAGGAAAACAAAATGGGTCCTAAGACCGACCCCTGAGGCACACCATATTTAACTGGACAGAACGAGGAGACATAGTTGTTTACAGACACGCAAAACTTCCTATTTGACAGGTAGGATGAAAACCATTCTAGGGCAGTACCAGAGATCCCCACCCAGTGCCTCAGTCTGTCTAACATGATGTTGTGATCAATGGTGTCAAAAGTCTCAGTGCTGTGGTACTTCCTAAAACCAGACTGAAACTTTTCAAATGTTTTGTTATTTTCCAGTACAGTGAGCAGCTGTTTGGACACAATTCTTTCTAGAATCTTTGCAATAAAAGGCAGTTTTGAAATTGGTCTAAAATTATGTGGGAGGGAGGGATCTAAACCAGGTTTCTTTTAAAAGTGGGTTCACGCAAGCCATTTTAAAATAATCAGGGACACAACCAGTAGATAGGGAGCTGTTGAAAGCAGAGATCAAATGGGGCCCAACAGAATCTATTACTTTCAGTAAAATTTTGTATGTATTACATAAAGTGGGCTGGAGGACACTCTCATTTGAGTTACTGTTTTCAAAAGCTCAGATAAGTCGATGGGATAAAACTGGTTAAAACTCTCTTGTTGCTGGTGAGGAACCTCTGAGTAAGAGGCCGCGGGGGTAATAGAGGCTCTGATTGACACCACCTTATTGGTAAAATAAGATAAAAACAATTCAGTCATCATTACTTCCAGCTGAGGCACAAGGAGGGGTTGGGTTTACCAGCAGATCCACAGTCTTAAACAGAAACCTGGGATTGTGTTTATGTGTAGTAATGAGTTCAGAAAAATAGTGTGTTCTCGCATCCTTAGCCAAGTTATTGTATTAATTGATAAATCCTTCAGACTGAGGTAATGGACTTGGAGACTGGATTTTTTCCATCTGCGCTCTGCTTTCCTGCATTCCCTTTTTAGACTGTGAATGCTGTCATTTATCCAGGGTTGCTTACTAGCTTTAGATGTAGGCCTAACCTTTAGAGGAGCAGTAATATTTAGTGACGACAAGCAGATATGATTGAAGTGATTGACCAGATTGTTGGTGTTGGAATCAGACAGGTGTTGGCTTTGGCTCTGAAAGAATGTGCAAAACTTTGAAACACTTTGTTCATTAAAGATGCGAGAACTCACGGAGCTTGGTGAGGCGGCATGAGTAACAGGCGAATCACAGCTA